AGGATATTTTTTTTATATATGGCAAAAATTGGGGCATTTTTCTATTCTTCCTTAATCTTTTTTAAATTACGAGAAATAATATTCTCTCAAGATAGTTTGCATACTAATTATAGTTGGTCTAGACATCTCAAATGCAGGTTATTAGAGGCTACCGTCGTCTGTTGCGTGCGAGTCGACAGGCTTTTCGCGGTGATGTATACGCGCTCAAGCAGGCGCGCATGACGTTGCGTGAACATTTTATAGCAAATCGTCAGGTGAGCGACAAGGAGCAGCTGGACGAGCTAATAAAGGGCATTGATGAGGCCGAGAGCATGTTACTGCACCACATTGTTCAGGGTCGTGCAAAGCAAGGAACAGGCGAGAATGGAACCCGTTTTGAGGTGCAGCTAACAGACCCACAGCGCCACGTCATGCGCAAGGATGAGGAACTTGTGCCGCTTACAGAAAACTCGGCTACCCAACCACTTGTTATGAACTCGGGCAATATTTGTCAGCGTCCGGCATAGACAGCGAGGAGATGTAGGAATCGGGGAGCCCGCCATATATTTAATGTCAAATTGTTACCAAGCAATGATGAACATATACAACGATTTCATGTTTACGTGTTGCCATCAACAATCAGTCTATAGTCTTACAGTTATAGCAACGCAACCCACTCATCATACATTTTAAGCAACTCGGTTTCTTGTGCCGAGGAATTTTTCATCAAGACGTCACGTTAAGCGTCGTTCACCCGCCAACTACAGCTTGTTTAATGATCTTTTATGACTGCTGTGCCACGACTGATCTGATAGGCATCGTAAAGGTATTTCCCGTTAAGCATGTCCATAAGTGTGCGGACTGTCGACTGTTGTTTCTTGCCTTTTCCAGTCTTTTTATCTTCGCCATCCTCCGTATGCGCCGAAACTTCTTGGTCTGTCAAAGCCTGAGATAGTCCAATCATCGCTACCAACAACGAGAGAAGCAGAAGAATATAGCGCAGTGGGCACATTGTCGTCAAGAGGTCGGTGGTAGAGAAGGCTGATTTTAAACTAAGAATCTAATTGAGGGCTAGCAGAAACATGGTAGAAACTGGATATAGAACTATACAGAACACCGGTAAAGCTTTATAGTAAAAATGATGCGTAATCATTGTATACGCCAGAACACCATAATAAAATGTGGCCTATACCGAATCTAAGCTTTTATACTGAACGTTCTAATACTCTACATTGTTTTACTGAATATATCAGTGTGTTTTACGTAAGTAGAAGCTCAAGATTTCTGAAACATCAAAATGCCTTCCTTGTACAAGGCTTTCGCGAGCGCCATCTGGTCTTGAGGATCTTCGTGCGGCATGTCGCCCACGCGGAAGTAATTAGGGTAGCTTCTGAGAATAAATTCAAGGCTTTCAGCATCGTCTAGCTCAAATTCGAGCGGAGAAATTGGAACTTCGTGATGCATACGAGAGTTTTCACGGCAATGGTAGAGTACAGCTTTACCTTCTTCAATCACTAGACGTGCCACACCATGTCGAATTAGCTTTAACTGGGTGTTGACCATAATTTTCTGCAATGGGCTATTGTCACTCGTACAGTTTTCTTCTACATCTTCCAGTACCGGAGGCAAGCGATCCACAAGAAAATTCTTGGCCATTTGATCTGACGCAGCATCAAGCATATCCATGGCTTCCCCAAGCACGGTTTTTAACGCGTTCTTTAGCTTCTCAGCAAATGCCTGCCTCTTTGGATCATTTTGACGGTCTGAGTGCATGACACCCATATATTCCAGGTAATCTCGGGGTAGTGAGCGTCGTAAATCCACGTTATTGTCAATCGCACTTGCGATCGCTTGAGGTAGTAGCACTTCGAGAAAATTACCCATCGAATTTTGTTGACCTGTTGATACTGTCAAGTGCAACGAGTGCTTCTCTTCGAATGCACGTGCTTGATGGACAAAGCCGCGAGGAAAGTAAAGCAAGTCTCCTGGATCTAGATCAATCTCCAAAGTAGGTTTGCCCAGTTCTTCCGACTTAAAGTTACCACTGGGATATCTTGCCAACATGTCGCTCTTGTTCATAGGTTGATACACTTTCCAATGCTTGCTTCCTTCCATCTGCAACAAGAATGCCTCAATGTCATCAAAATGAGGAGCAAATCCCTGCGTATTTTTCGGTGTCAAGTAAGTGTTGGCACCGGCCATACAACCCCATTCGTCCTCCAACGTGGCTAGCAGCTTCCAAACATTGTCCGAGTACTTTTGTGGACACAAGAGACGGACAGAGCAGCCTTCATCAAAATGTTGCCACACTTGATTGGCTGTTGCAGTACCTGATGGATTAAGTGTGTGACGAGTGTCGTCTAAATACTTAGTTAAGTCCAAATCAGCGACGTACTCGAGTGTATGAGTCTTAAGTATACGGTCGATATCATGCTTGCTAAACCAGCCATCATAGTAGCTGGAGTAGTTGCGTTTGATAGCCAATGGGCGCTGCTCCCAATAATTTTCGTAGAATTCCTCGGGAGTTACAGGGTACAGCAGCCATGTGAGCAGCATCCGAGCTTTCGTGGCGCTGTGAATGTCGATCCGTGACACAAGATCGTGGGCATCCACAACATCATTGGCATCAATTTTCTGCTCGATGATCAATGGCAAGGAAGAGCACGGAGAGACTTTGCGTTTCTTGGTTGACGGAGCAGAGGATAAAGACTTGGCTACATTCTTACCCACCATTGCTATTTTAAATGGCGGACAGCAACAACATACTTTTCAATTTATTAGTGCATTAAAAAGATCATATTAATTTATACAAATTATGATTAGAGATATGCCCATTATAGTAATGCATACTTTTGTAGTAAGAGAGGTCCGATATTTTAAAGCTTAACAACGAAAGCTCGGCAAAGTAAGTTTGCGGATTTTCCAGCAATACTTTGTTTGGTGTCGCTTTCATCGAGGAACAACGTTGATGTCCCTAGATCATCACTTATTTAACTTTCAGCCTGCTGGTGAAACACAATAAACGGCGAACTTAAGCGGGCGCCTAATTTCAATAACTATTTTTTAGTTTGCCTGGAAATATTTGCGTTGATTGTGAACATACTACAAAATTCTATTTACTTGCGTTTTGAGTTTCGCCAGCTGAAACAGAGAAATTGTACGACAACAAAACCTAAGAATAACACGTACAACCTAAATCTAGTGTCGCAATAAGCAAACAGATTACGAGAGTCACCCTTTGAGCGAAAAGCGCTCGTAAGGTTGCTGAAACTGAAGCAGGTGCTCCAGCAGTCCTCCAAGCATAATTACAAAGACGGAAAAATGATATCTCTGCTGGGTAGAAGTGCGTGAAATACTGAGGGGTCAGAGTTCTGAATGAGGACAGACTTTGATAACATTCACAAAGTCACCGACACTTCCAAAATCAGGACATGGAGAATTCGTTTTGGAAAATGCTGGTCTTAATGTCGACGCAAGGATTTCTGATGAGGTGTTAAAGGAAGATCTCTTTGTCAATGCTCTTAAAAAATGGATAATAATTCGGAATTGATTGGATTATTGCTGATCAAGAAGCTCTAATAATCTCTGTTCTTTGCTACAAAGCAGTGTCTGTACAAAGTTGTGGTACACTCTTGGTGGCTTGATGTCACGCTTGAAAGCATTCGCTGGCATGTCAGCCGAATTAAGCTTTAATATAGTCAAATAACCCAGCGAAATTTGGTTCTTTACTGCTTGTCAGCACGGAGAATTCCACCAAAACTCCAAGCACCGCACACTTCTAATTCATGTCAAACCATTGGGTTTACATATATTAGAAGAAATTTTAATCGATTTGACACACATATGCTCCTCATTTTCTTTTTGGGTATCGACAAGGTCCTGTAGGTGGACCACTTGGAGTTCCCAGTTTCTGCTGATAAGATGCAGCTCTCCGGAGGAAGGCGGAGAGCAACGAGTGGCTGTCGAGCGTCACTAAAGATAAAAAGAAGCTGAAGAAGGGGGGAGAAGACTGCTCTCACTTTTGGTTGCAGGCGTCAATGCAGACGGTAACTCAAGATTAATCCGTGAAATTGGAAGCCATAGAATTGATACTTCTCGTTCTACGCTAATTCATCAAGCCCACCGCCTATATATCCCACTGGTACTCCACTTGAATCGCACTCAATTGCACTTTCCGATAGACCCAGAGCTGACAAAGATGAGAGACTTTCGAACTCACTGGTGACTTTTGCTGAAATAATAGCGTGATCGTGTATGGAATCTTGATCTTTAAGAGAGCCTGGAAATCGGAGCTCATCCAAACTCATTCATCATGCACTTCCATAGACATTTGACATCGAGCGAGTTTCTTTTTTGTGGCACAGCAACTCCGACAATTGCTAGGCTAGCACATGTCACTGTCGAGGCGATATCAATGCATCTCCTTCTGCTCCACCAAAACTTGAGGCTTGTTCGATAGATTTGGTGATTGTCGCGTTGCAAGGAAATGAAGAAAAGAACAAGAGATGGTGTCAACAAGATTTGCAGTCGCTCAATGTGAATCATTAGCACCGGCGACTATTGCGCAAAAGCAGGACTGAGTTTGCTGATACATCTTTCATTAGTCTCTCCACATTGTGTGGATTGTAAGAAAGAAAAAGGTCTTCGATGCTCTAGAGTTCATGCAAGTTGTTGCTTTCCGAGACTTTGAAAAAGACGAAAGTCCTCACCGTCTGTCGTTTTCACAGGTGCAAGCTCGTTGAAAGATACAAGTGCGTCGTTATTTGGGCTTCTACCAGCACCGTTCCTGGGCACCTATTGCGATGATACTTCACTGGTGATCGCCACAAGTTCTGTTAGACATCAGGATCCATGTTCCAAAAGTCTTTCGCGGTCCATAAGTCATCTTCTCTCAAAGAATGTGAAATCGCCACCGGCACTTGTCATCAGTGAAGGCAGTGGAAACCCTCCCAAAACAAATTTGAGGCTGGACTCTTCTGGCATTCTCCTGTCTTCTTGCGCTAGCGCTTAGACTAGAGTAGTCTTCTTCCCCTTCTTCAGCTACTGAATATCTTCAGTGACGCTCGACAGCCTCACGTCGCCCTCTGCCTTTCCCGAAGAGCTACAGAGCGGCTCTGCCGCAACTAAAACAATTAAATACAGTTTCATTTTTGAACAGAAGTGTTCGTTTGTCTAGGTAAGGCTTAAGTACTTAGATGTGGCGCATTGCAATTCGCTTCACTTGTACTGGTTCTTGGAAAGAACGTATGTGTCGGTGACCTTATCTTAGCTTCCTCTAAGCAAAGATCTACGGCAGCCTCGCTGCACATGGTAGCACTTGATGGTAAATCCACGCCTGACTGATATTTTGTGAGGATAGATGAATAGTCCTATTTGCCCCAGTGCAAGTAGGACGGGCTTAATAAGCTGATGTCCCAGCTGGTCTCTGAGGGCGTGGGGCACCTCGTTGCGCAAGGCCCAATGCCATAAGCACGCGCCTAGAGGCGTGTTCGAACCATGAAAATGATGTGTTAGAGCATTTACAGCAGAAGCTGCCAGCGTCGACTACGTCTATGAGCCACCTTTGAAGACGGATGATTCGTTAAGATATACGAGGGTAAGAATGGAGAGTATCTCCCTCTCCTGATAAGAGAGGCAGAGATGGCTTTGGCATCCGCCATGCTCCAAAACGAGCAACAGCGCGTGGTGCTCGCTATCTCCTAGCTCGGGTTCGAGCGTGCGAATGGGCACTAACGCACGGTGCTCTGGTTGAAGCTGTTTTCCCTCCTGGACGGTGCTGAAGCGATAGCTTTTACGAGAGTTCTCCGCCTGACCCGGCATTTCGCGTGAGATCGCGTTTTCTTGCCGCCCGACAGGGCAACAAGGAACTGGTGGACTTTGTCCAAGCGTTGCGTACTCTCACTACCGGGACGGCAGCCGATTCTCTCCCCGAGGCGGTCGCAGTAACCGTCTTTATGGAGAGCCTCCGCACTAACGTGACCAGAATGGAAGTCTTCCGAGTGCATCCATCTGTTTTGAAGGGTGAGAGTGGCATTGAATGCCGTATTCAACTTCGAGTCGGCGCGACTTGATTGGAATACACACCCTTAGAGCTCGTCGAGCGGGCCTGAGCCATTGGATCTCAGCTATTCTGAGAAGGAGATAAAGCTCCGAGCTGCTGCACAGCGTGTAAACACCCGACGGTGTTTTGTTTGTGGAGCCACCCGTCACCTTCGGACGGGTTGTCTCTTGCGCAAGGGGATCGTCGAACGACGTTCCGCTTCTCACCAGTCTGATTTGTCGCGGGAACAAAACCCAGTAGGCGCGGCGTGTCCAACTGGGAAGAACTGGGTTCTGTTGAGCTTCAAAGAGGTAGAGGGGAGCAGTGCCCAGTCTCGAAGGGCACCGTGCTCTTG